TTATATAAAAAAACAATATAAAAAGTTTGTTTTTATATCATCACTTAAAAATATCGTCTACATAAAATACCAAATGTACTTATTTATATGAAATTATAATTTTATAAATCATTTAAATAATTAATTTTTTTATTTATTTAAAATCTATAATATTAATTATGTCAACCACTTATGTAATAAAATATAAAAATTATAGTTTACCAAAATAAAAAAATTTATTTTTATATCACTATTAATTAAATAAACAACTAATTCAACGAGAAATCATTAAAATTGCTGAATTGGCATATTTTCATTGGAGGGGTGTAATGACCCGTGATATACTTCATCTTTCCGTTCCAATCAAGTTATTGTTTGTTTGTTTGCCATAGCAGGCAATGCTTTATCCAATGGGTTTAGTTTCCCTGAAAGGTGAATCATTCAGGCTGGACTGAGTTAATCAAGGTGATGGGCCTTCTGTTAGGGTTCTGACCTACCCACATCAAATTTGGATCTCACCCACATACTGAATACCCATCAACACATGCTACCGCTCATTGATGCTGCTGATCATCATCATCATCATCGTCTTCTTCCTTGACCTCTGCAGAACTGTTGTTGTGGTAACGGATGGATTCAATTCAATTCATTACTCTTTACGATTGATTTACTTAGTACCATTAATTAACAAGTAACAGCCTCTGTATTTATGTTAGTCTCAACATAACATGCAGGAAAATGAAGAGTGAAACAGAGCAATCAAACCCATGCAACGGCTGTTCAACAATGGCTTCTAAAAGTCTCCGGACAAGTACAACACACAATGACCCTTCCATGTTTACCCCAAAAGTGCCCCACTTTTTCAAGATTATCTTGGAGGACACTATTCGAGATGGGAAACTAGTAAGAATTCTAAAGTTCCCATTTTTTTTTTTATAATATAATTTCTACCGTTAAAGTTGTTTTGTTTTGGAAGCAAGATGAAACTAGTAAGAATTCTGAAGTTGCCTTTTTTTTTTTTCAATATAATTTCTACCATTAAAGTTGTTTTGTTTTGGAAGCAAGATTAATGAACATGATGAATGATTCTGTTGTATCGTACCATTAGCAATTGGTTTTCTGTTAGGCATCAATGCTTGGATTAGTCTTAATTGTTACTAGTTTTCTACAGGAGATTCCAAAAAAGTTTGTGAGAAAATATGGGAATGGTATGTTGAGTTCAGTAGTACTTGAGGTCCCTAGTGGTGCAGTCTGGAGAGTGGGACTGACTAGAAGTGACGGCCGTGTTTGGTTGCAGTGTGGATGGAATGAATTTGCTAAGTATTACTCTCTAAAATATGGGCATTTCCTGGTTTTTAGATATAAGGGGAATTGCAACTTTCATGTACTCATATTTGACACGAGTGCGTCAGAGATTGAATATCCTAACTTTAGCAGCAGACATGGTCGAGGTTGCATCCTTGATAAAGAATTTCATGAGCCAGAGATAGGAGAAGCTGAGGATGATGTTTCTGTTGAAATCTTGCGTGAGATTCCTCCACGCCGGAAAGTGAGACAGAAGTCGCCAGTACCATGTTCTCGGCCTTGTAAGAAAATGAAAACCACTATGTCTGACTCATTGATTGATGATCAAACTGGATTTCTTAGTTGCCAGAAAAATTATGTTGCGAAAGAGCCCACTGTCCCCAATGTTGAAGAAAGTGAAAGTGATTCTTCTGTTCAAATCTTAGATGACTTCTCATCATTCCATAGAACACAAGAGGCATCATCCTTATGGTGTCCTAAACCAAGCAACAAAGTAAGGAACAAGAATTCCCGTGGAAACCAAGAAAGCACTTCCAAAATACCGCCATTGACACAGCATTGTAAAAAGAAAGGCATTCAATGTACCAGGATGAAGCTTGAGAAGTCAATTAAAAATGAGTACTTGGATAATTCCATGAAGGAACTTGGGGGTATCAGTCTTTTTATGTTTTTGTTTCAGCTCAATTTAGTTAATATTAAGTCATACTAGGACTTGACTACCTTCTTGTTCATGTGTTGGCTCTTAACAGGCTCACTTAATTTTCCTGCAAAAAGTTGTAGTACTCTTAGAAGGTCTACTGAGAAAGGCAGAGAAGTTAAAATGTCTTCCTTGATGCGATCATTGTCCTGCAAGGAGAAAGAAAACTTTCTTTTAAGAGATACCATTGTGAAATCTGGAAATCCTGTTTTCCCAATTGTCATGCGTCCAGCATATGTGAATGGTGGCATACTGGTAAGATTTCAGTTAAAAGCAACTAAATTTGCCAAGTTTGCAAATTATCTCTAGTGATTGGTTAGATTCAGCTCAGGTGTTTTATAGGCATAGGGATTCTATTTCTAATGCCCCAGAAGCCTGATTGCAAATCATTTTTTTCTTGTGTTTTCTTGTTTATCTGTTTTAAATTCTGTAGTTTTGCCGACTCTTATGTATGAAATATAATGCATTCATTTATCCTGTACCATTGATTTCAAAAGAATTTCTTTGATATTTGGTTAGTCATAGAAATTGGCTAAAAATGCTTCCTCTTCGAAGTAATGCTAAAAAGTTTCCTGCTGTTATATTTTGGAAAAGAAAATTTTCCTTTTATTTGCTCTGACTTTCCTCTTCTTGCAGAACTTACCATTTCAATTTGCCAAGAGGTATCTTGGTGAGAGGCATGACAAAGTTATCCTTCACCTTCCAAATAGGAGAACTTGGAGTGTTAAGTATGCTTTCAGAACAAAATCCAGTTTTCAACCTAAACCTAGATTTTATTATAGTTGGAGAGAATTTGTTCTTGACAATAATCTAAAAGTAGGTGATGTTTGTGTCTTTGAGCTGATTAAGGATGCGGGAACTTCATTCAATGTCATCATCCTTTCAGCAGCCAATGGTGAATATTATTCATTATCATCTCATGGCTAGTATGAATTGTGAATTTAATGAAGTAAAGCTCTATTCAATCTATTAATCTGTGATTTGTTATGCTTCTGGAACCAGCTAATGCTTCTGGAGCTAGTCAAGTTAAATCCAGGAAGGTTTTGGTACCTGAAATTGAATCTGACCAAACCAATGATTATCTTGCTGGAAATTCTAACCTTGATGACCAATCCATGGGCCAACACTTCCAACCTACTAGAAGGAAGCACAAGGTTGGACACGGTAAGTATCTAAGAACTTGTCAACTTTTGTTTGAGTTCAGATGTATTGTATTTTGTCTCAAACTATTTGTTTGGGATCAGGTAGGTTAGAACAATCAGGAGTTGATAAGAGTGCTGGGAGAAAGGTTACTCTGCAGTCTCCATGTTTGTTACCTTCTCACACAGCTGATACTACAAGGAAGTCCTTTAAAGTTGTTTTGAAGTCATATAATTTTGAGCGTTCCAAAGTGGTATGATTTGAATTTGAACAGTATATATTTTTGAAAATCACAATAATCCATTCCAACAAGCATATTATATTGTAAATTTTTTTTATAATATGCCTTGAGTATCCGAACAATAATATGAATTTAGAGAAATGATTGCAGGCCATAAGTTTATCAGAAATATAGCAAGCTTTAAAGCGGTGACCAGTATAACTGTACATACATATTGTGACATGTTGACTGGATTTCAGCAGTATAATTTGGATACAAAATGAATTTATTTCATGAAATATAGAGGTGTTGCAGTTGCAGACTTGCAGTTGCAGACTTGCAGTTGCACACTGAGGCCAAGTCTTAGTAACATTACTTTTGTACTCAGCCTTTGAGCTACTAAAATGTATTTGCATTGTCATGTTAATTATTTTATCTTATATCTTCTTTCTGCAGACCATGCAGTTTCAATTTGTTCAGAAATTCATTGCTCAAAAAACAGAGGATTGGGTGCTTCAGGTTGTAGATGGAACATGGCCTGTTAAGTTGACGAGTTATCCACAACACAACTTGGCAAACTTATCACGGTTGAGTTCATTTGCAAGGGACAATTCTCTGAAAATTGGAGATACTTGTGTCTTTGAGATTGCTGAAGAGAGTAGTGCTACCATGAAGGTCTCTATCATCAGATGTTCTGGTACTAGTAAACTTGCTGGAAATTCTAACCTTGATAATCAATCTATGGACCGACACTTTCTACGTCCTAGAAGAAAATGCAAGGTTCCCAGTAGGCATCTGGAAACTTATCAAAACTTTGTTTGACTTCAGATTGATAGCATTTTGTCTCATACTTATTTGTCTTGGATCAGGTGGGTTAAAACAATCAGGAGTTGAGAAGAGTGCTTGGGCGTTGGTTACTCCACAGTCTCCATGTCAGAAGTCCTCACACACTGTTGATCCTACAAGGAAATTTATTGAGGTTGTTTTGCGGTCATATCATTTCAAGAAGTTCTGCCTGGTACGATTTAAATTTGAACAATATATGTTCGAAAATTTTATAATCCGTGTGTACAGTCTATCAAGCATATTTTATTGTATATTTGCCTTATAACATGCCTTAATTGTCAGAACTAAAACATGAATCCTGAGAAATGATACAATAAGTTTATCAAAAATATAGCAAGCTTAGGACCAGTGACCAGTACAACTGTATATATGTGTCATATAGTCTGGATTTCAGCCATATAACTGAAATATAGAGGTGTTGTAGCAGTTGCATACTCGAGCCTTTTATCTATAAAATGTATTTGCATTGTTATGTTAATCATTTTATCATCCCCAACACCATCAGTCTTAAACTATTACTCTTATATCTTCTGTCTGCAGAATTTCTCCTTTCACTTTGTTAAGAAATTCGTTAGTCAAAAAGCAGAGAATTGGGTACTTCAGGTTTTAGATAGAACTTGGCCTGTTAAGTTGATAAGTTATCCACAGTGGCACTCTGCAACATTATCTTCTGGATGGAGTTCATTTGCAAAGGACAATTCTCTGAAAATCGGAGATACTTGTGTCTTGGAGATTGCTGAGGAGACTAGTGCTACCATCAACGTTTCCTTCGTCAGATGTTCTGGTTAAGCAGAAGCTAATGATATTAAACTATAAGAAATTCTCGATGCATTTTGCTGATGACCTTCGGATAATTGTAACTTAAACCTTCCTTGTTTTTGGCTTCTCGTTTTGAAGGGATCGGTAAAGTGTCATTTTGTAGGTATGCTGGATTAAGAACTAGTAGTTTATCAAAGTGTAAGACTTGTTTCTTAGTCATTACCACTTCAAACTTCCTAGTATATAGACTCGCTCAATGTTTTATTGGACTTTAAAACTGTCACAGAACAAAACAGAAAAAGGAGTTCTAATTCTCTTATCTTTAGCAGGATGGGAAAGAATAGCTTGTTTTGTGCTCACACACGGCTGGCATTAAGCCCACATAATTTTGGGTTGATCTTCCAAAAATTGGGCCTTCCATTAGGGTAGTTCTACAAGAGCAAAATTGGGGTAGTTGAGCAACCCTATTAATGTCCCCTAATGCTCTGGAGATGCTACTGAAGCTCATCAATGTCATTTCTGCTTGAGCTCTTCATGCAGGCCTCTGATGGACTGATTGTGATGGGTCGAAATTAGTCAAAATTTCTGAACTTATATTGATTACTTTTTAATTATGATTTCATGAACCACCAACCAGGTAGACTTTTTGTTAATATATGTCAGTGTGAAGAAGAAGAAACAAACATTTGCTGAGCACCTTGAAGAATTTTAGATTGGAAAATCAAGAACTCAGATTTGAAATGAAGAACAACTTGATGAAAATACAAGGTCTGGATTTTCGATTTTTCCAGCCTTTTTTCATTCATGCATACACTTCTTTTATTATCAAACTTCTTACATAAAGAGTGGGATTGGATTTTGCTGCTTTGTATCCCCTCAACAGTTCATGGATTGATGGATATACCCTCATTAACTGCTGACTACACCCTATGCGTTACTGACAATCCAACCCCAACAGATTTTAATCTAATTCCATACATGAATAACTACACTGAAGTACACCTAACGCATTTACTAAAGAGTTACAAAACAAAACAGCACACCACCTTCAACACAGTTAAAATTGTTGGAGGTGTGGTGTCAAAGCTGCAACATTAGCGGCAATTGAAAGGAGTTGGGGTTTGCTTCACTACCCCGTTGGCGTGAAGTTGCCGGCACTTTGGGGTTGCCCAAATTGTCGGCAATTTTTTTGACTTTTTTTTTGCTTTAATTTTTTGTTGGATTTTTTTTTTTTGGTTAATTTTTGGTTGGGATTCCTTTTTTTTTTTTTTTTTTTTTTTGTTTTGATTGGAGGATTTTTATTGGAGGAAATTGATTTTTGCCTTCGCCAAAGAGGAAACTCCGGGTGTCTTTCGTTCTCCTTCGAGTCCTCTCTCAACCCGTTCTTTTTACCCCAAAAACTTTAACAAAAATTGAACAATGGCTTCTGACCATCAGCAGAGAAACAATGGGTTTTCCATGTTTAAACCAAAAGTGCCTCATTTCTTCAAGATAATCTTGGAGGTTACTACTCGAGAAAGGAAGCTTGTAAGCACTCTTATCTGAATGTCCATTAAATTGTATGAAGAATGCTTTTGTGAGTTACATCATAGATTATCATGTCATGCATTAGCTAATTGGCTTTTTCTGTAGTTATTTCTTCTTGATCTTTCAGTCTCTTTGTTGGTAGCTAGTTCTTTTCATATCATTTTTGTCTCCCTGTCCCGGTGCTTCGCTTCATATGGCTATTTCCTGTATTTTCTGTTTACATCAGTCTTAATTAGGAATTTTCTGCAGAGGATTCCGAGAAATTTCTTGAGAAAATATGGAAATGGTATGTCAAGTCCAGTAGTACTCAAGGTTCCTAGTGGTGCGGCCTGGGAGGTGGGACTGGCCGAAAGTGAAGGTGATGTTTGGTTGCAAAATGGCTGGAAAGAATTTGCTGATCATTACTGCCTAAACGATGGACATTTCTTGGTTTTTAGATATGAGGGGAATTGCAATTTTCATGTACTCATATTTGAGAAGAGTGGTTCAGAAATTGAGTATCCACAAGGACATGTTGAAGATCCAAGACTTGGTGAAGAATTTCAAGAACCTACTAGGAGAGAATCTGAAGATTATATTTCTGTTGAAACCTTGCTTGAAATTCCTCCATGCAGGAAAGTGATACAGCAATCTCCAGTACCATGTCCTCGGCCCTGTAAGAAAATGAGAACCAATTCAACTGAGGAATACAAATTCAATCCTATGTTAGGTACTCCTCCTACTTCACATTTATGCTCCACTCCAGATTTTGTTTTGGTTATCCATCTAATCTTGATTTTCTTCTGAGTAGTATATGAAGCTATGGCTATGTCATTTGTGTTGGTTTATAATGGGAGGCCTTGTTCAGGTAAACGAGATGGATCCGGCTCATTTACAGGTCATGGAGGAATTCAAGTTCCTAAGAGGATGAAAAAGAAGAAAGCTATTGAAATGGCCGCAGCCTACAAATCTAAGAATCCTTTTGTCTTAGTTGCTATACAACCATCATGTATAACTCCTGGATATAGAATTGTAAGTAAAATTCAACTTGCCACACCATCAGTACTGTGTTCAGTTCATTCTTTATAATTTGCAAATGAAGTACAAAATTATTGCAGGAAAGGAGTTTGGAGAAAAATGAAAGAGACTAAACATTTTTTCATTGTGGTTTCTCGACTTGCAGAAACTACCAGGAAGATTTCTTAAGAAGCATCTAATGAAGAATGTCTGTGATATAATCCTTCACACATTGGATGGGAAAACTTGGTCTGCAAGGTTATCTAATGATTCAATCTGCAAGGGTTGGAGGGCGTTTGTTTTGGACAATAATTTGGAAGTTGGTGATGTTTGTGTCTTTGAGCTGATTAGGGGCACTGAATACTCATTCAAAGTAGTAATTTACCGAATTGCTGATAATTCAAGTTTCTGTTCATCTTTAGGTGAGTGAGTGGTAATCTGCAAGGCTTTTTCTGTGCTCCAAAAGATATAGTTAGGCATCTGTGTTCCTATGTGTCTTTCTTTCACTTATTTTCTCTTATTGTGATTTGTAAACCAGTGGACAAGAGCAGAGGCAAGCAAGTAAAACCGCAGAAGAGCTCTGAAGCTGATACCAAGTGTGACTTTATGAATAATGATGGAATTGGATTGGTTAGTCCACACAAACAAGGTGCTGCCAAAGAGTCTCTGGTTCCCAAGACTGAGCAAAATGAGAACGATGCAAGTATTGAGATCTTGGATGACTTCTCATCATTTCTGAAAACACGAAAGAAATCCTACTTACGGCCTCCTAGACCTGCCAAGAAGATGAATAAGAATCCCAGAGGCAACAGAGAAAATCTGCCTCAACATCATGGATATAAGGACATTCAATCGATGGGGATGAAGATGGAGAAGTCAATGAAAAATGAACACTCGGATAATGCCATGATGGGAAACGAAGGTATTAGTCTTCTTATGCTCTTCTTTAAGCTTATAATCTGACGTAAGTCACATTGAGATTTGAATACCCCATGTAAAAATGTGTTGGCTCTTGGCAGTTGCCCTTTATTCTCCAGCCAAAGACGATGGTGCTAGGAGTAGGCCTGCTCAGAGAGGGAAAAAGGATAAGGAGTTTTGCTTTATGCCGTTACTGCATTGTAAGGAGAGAGCAAAAGCTCCTACAAGAGCTAGAGATTTTATATCTGAAAATCCCTTTTCCATGGTTGTCCTGCAGCCATCATGCATCTATGGTGGCAGTTTGGTAAAATTCAGTTCAAAACCAAAGTTCCAACTGTGCACATTATCTCCGTGAATTAATTGAATTCAGGTGTTTTCTAGTGTATAATATATTTATCTTATCCTTATTTCTTCTCTCTGCAGGCTTTACCATTCCCCTTGATGCGGAAATTCATTAATCAAGGAAAAGAGAGCTGGATGCTTGAGGTTAAAGATAGAACATGGCCGGTTAAGTTGATAATCCCTCATCAGCGTATGTCCTCAGTTAGGTTTTCTGCTGGTTGGCCTGCATTTGCCAGGGACAATTCTTTGAAAGCTGGAGATACTTGTGTCTTTGAGATAATTGAAGAGAGTAATGCCACCATCAAGGTCTCCATTTTCAGAACATGAATGTCTCCATTTTCAGTTGTTCTGGTTCAAATAGTAGTTGGAAGTATTGCAGTTGCAGCCTAAGGTTAATTGTAACCAGACTTTTGGCCTTTGCACCTCTTATGCGTGGCTTTTTGAATGGATCAGAGAAGTAATGCTCTCTATATGCTTTCTACATAAAAACTAACTACAATTTTTTTTTTGGTACCTAAAGATTAGGGATTGAATCCTAAACCTATGACAAAGAGCATAGGTAACTCTATCCCTAGACCAAAAACTAACCACAATAATCATATGATATAATTGCAAAAGACACGAAATCTTAATCATGAAAAGATATAAAAGCAACCGTATAACATGGTGAACGTAAGCAGCAATGTTTTGCAATTTCAAGGCTTACTAGGTGTTGGAGATCCGACCATCCGGGTCAAGGGAACTATCTCATCTAAAACTCGAAAGATGATAACATCAAAGACAACGCCTTCCATATTCGATTTCCTTGAGTGAGCGAGCTCAAAGACACAAGCATCATGTTCTTCCAAATTGTTATCCCAGACAAAGTTGGCCCATCCTCTTGTGAAAGCACATTTCTGCTTGTTGTATTTGAGCCTTACAGGCCATTTCTCTTTACTAGGAGGGACTCTCAGCTCAACTCTCTGAACACCATCAGGGATATGCTCTGCTGCCCATTCTCTAGGGAGAGTCTGCATGCAGAGATTAGGCAAGTGAAATTGCTCATATCTGATTCAATAGAGTTCAATAAGAAAAACTAAGTTCTGATTAAATGAACAGTTGGGCGTCCTTTAGTAGTCTACTGGACTAGAAGGTATTATGCAATTCTTTGCCTTGTTTTCTGATCCTTAAACTTCGCAAAAATCAGGAAACATGGCAAAACATTTTCTTGCAAGAAGGATTAGTTTTTTTCGTTCTTTTAAAAAAACATTATTCAAAGGAAAATATGAGTTTAAATTGCAGATAATGACAGGAATAAGAAATGAAGAGAAAGGAAGTACCAGTGCAAAATACTTGCAAACATGGGTAGGCTTCATAACCACAACAAATGAGGGTCTGCAAGATAAATGCCGAGCGGCCAGTTTATAGGGTCTTATTTTCTCCTCCGGTGTCACCTCTCGCCTGTTTGATTGAAAATACATGGCATAGGATTTTCCTTTACTTGTTGTCCTCTTCATAATACCTGAATCATTCATGAAACAACAAACAGAATAAGAAAATGTGAGAATCTGCTGCTGTGTGTTTTGTAAGAAAACAAGCAGGCAGCATTATCTTGCTTGGGAAAACAGGAAGACTCAATCCATGTCTATCCATTGTTCAAAGAGAAGAACGAGGAGGATTTTGGTGGGAGACGAACCAGCCTTTTTCCCTTTTGATTTAGGCTCCAATGGGACATGATTCTTACTTGGAGCACCTTGCTTCCTTTTTCCACCTGATCCAAAAGGGTAAAATTGATTTGAGCTGCTACCTATGCCCATTTCATCTCTGTCCCTTTTAGGCTTCCCCTTTGTATGACTACATTGCCAATCTTCAACTGTATCCTTAGATCCCTCTGAGTCTCTCTCAGCAATCATTTCACAATTCTCTGACATACTAACTAGATTCTCATTCTGGGTTCTATATTTCTTCTTTCCACCAGTTTTAAAGGATAGAATTTCAACTTCTTCTGATGTTTCACTCTCATCCCCTTCTAGCTTCTTTTGCTTCCTGCTTTTCTCTGTTGCTTTTACTTGATGGCTCCTAATGGTTGTTCCAAAAGATCTTGAACTTTGGCTTCCTCTTCTCTTCAGGTTGCCTTTTCGTGCATGATATTCCAGAACTTTGTCCAAGTTTATAACTTCATTGGCATTCTTAATGCTACGTTTCTTCCTCTTCCCATCAACTTTAGAAGGAATAATTTCAACTACTCTCGAGGTTTCACTCCCATCCCCTCTTAGCTTCTTTTGCTTCATGGTTTTCTCCCTTTCCACTGATTGATGCAACTCATTAATTGCAGCAGAAACTTTTGAACTTTGATTTCCATTTCCCTTCTTCACCTTGCCTTTTGGCCTATCTTTTTCCAGAATTTTGTCCAAGTCTATAACTTCTTCAGGCTCCTTTCTACCCTTCTTCTTGGATACAAAGCAGCCATTTGAAGCAGCACTCTTGACAAAATATGAGGCTTCTCTTTCACAGGCACTTTTATCAAATATCACAACATTGAAAGTTGAGTTTTCGTCATAGCGAAAGACAAGGAAATCATTTTCTTCCAAACTGTGGTCTCTTGCAAAAATTTCCCAACCATTTTGTAAAAAAACATCATCAACTGTTCTTGCGAGTTTGACAGTCCACACAAATCGACTTGGACCTCTGAGGTTTATGGTGTCTGACAAATTACCCTTAAATTTTCTCACAAATTTTCTGGGAATCCTCTGTAAAACAGCATAATAGGGATTAAAACCCTGAATAACATCAATAAATAAATAAATAAACCTTTCACTTTGCCTTCATCAGTCATGAGTCATGACTCACCAGTTGATTTCTAAAATCACCAATCATTATCTTGAAAAACTGGTGCCTGTTGGAAGGAAATCCTGTCCAATACCTGTCTTCCTCTGACATCCTGCAATTTTGACCGAATTCTTCTATCATCTTTGATTCACAAAACAGTACCAAAAAATAAAAACAAGGAGATCCCATATGCACTGTATAACAAGGACCAAGAAGTTACGCAAAAAGGGTTCAAAATTCAGCTACCTAAAAGAAAACCAAGTCTTTTATAACAGATCCATATCTTCAACCATGTATTGTACAGCTAATTAGACCCAGAAAAAAGAAGCGGATCAAAAATTAGAATCAGAAAATATACGTACTTCAAAGTTTCCTCTTCCCACAGCTGAGTTGTCTCTTCTCCCCTCTTCTCTTCACAACTTCATCTCCTACACAGCGTTCCTCAATCTCTTCTCTGGCCCTGTATATAATCCCATTTGAGGAAAAAGTCTGCAAGTAGTCCTAGCTCACTGACCTCTCCAAAGGCTTCCCAATTCTCAAAACCTGAACCAACCCACATGCTAGGTCTCTTTCAGCCTTCTTTAATTGGTACTCTGATGTGTCTGAACCCTTTACACCATTTGGGCATGGTAAAACCATAAATAGAAAAAATCAGAGCCAGTGAAAAGAAAGAAAACTCTCAAAAAGGAAAAATGGGCCTGCATGCCTTCATCAATGCCTGCCATAGTTATGCACTTGTTTGTTTTTGCAGTAACTTTTTCTATGACGCTACAGGACGCATCCTCATCCCTCCCCCTGCACAACCCTACCCACCTTCTCCCCTCTCCCCACCACTAAATTTGGCGGGTAACCAACGGCAACTCTGAAACCTTTAATATTTTCTATTGTTTCTTTTCCATGAATATTTTGTAAGCCAAAAAATTATTATTTGCTTCTAAAAGTATTACTTTATATAAATTAAATATATAAAGTAACGTCTATCAAGTTCTAAAGATTTTCGATTGCTTACCAAATAATAAAAAATATTTTCTGAAATTTTTTTTCAAAGTATTCCAAACAATGAAGAATAATCTAATTTTTCAAAATATAATCATTTTTCATGAACCATACGAAACCTTAATGTTAATGTCACGTTACACATACTTCTTTATTTAAATTTTTTTTAACCCCGAGTGAAAAGTGAGATAACAATAATCAAAAGAATATGAAAGTAGAAGTGCAACGTTGGAGAACATTTGGTGCGGCAATCATCTCAGCCCTTTCTTCAAGGCTGCATCATACTCATACTAGAGGAACCCCACAGTACACTAGGTTGTAGGCATTACCGGATAAAAAACCTTGACCATATCTTACAAATGAATATAATGAATCTGTAGAAAGACAGCAGAGTTACACACTGCACGGTACAGATGAAATATGGAGATTCCGGATTTCAGTATAACTTTGTATGCTAGTGTCCTCCAAGGCATGCACTATAAAATGAGTCGAAGCAATACGTTAAATGATCGTGTGATTATCTTACAGCTGCAAGGACCTTCCATGTGAGCTAACAGCTTCCCACATGCATTTTCGTGCCAATAATATGTACAGTCACAATGATATATGTAATGCGGCTTTCTTTCTCTTGAGTAATCATCAATGAGAGAAAGAACTTGCCTCGGTGCTATAAAACGAGCATTCACTTAGGCTGTAGTTGGCTCGCTCTTCACCCCATTTCAGAATCTCCCTCGCAAATATAAGAGTTGAATCAACACTTTTGTGGTCTAATCCTTTCACGTGGGAAACATATAACTTACGCCCAGTGAGAGAAGAATATAACTTCTTGAACTTGACTGCAATATAGTGGAAACCCAGCTGACCCAGAGTGGGGCTATGATTGATACTGTTGCTGTTTGTTTTTGAATTGGAGCGGTGATGGCTTATCACTGGATGAAAATCATCAAACCAATCGCACTGAGTCAACGGCACCTGCTCTATCTTTTCCTCAAACAGATCAAATTTGTTTAGTATCAAAAGGAAGTCCATCTGTTCAAAGGTTGGATGAGTAACAATGCTTTCAAAGAATCTCCTGTTCAGCACCATCTTATTAGTTCCATCTACAGAGAACTGGTCATAGTCACTCAAGGCAACACAGAAAATGACTAATCCCACATCTTCAAACATCTCTAGCCACTTGCAGTTTTCTCCAAAGCCTCTTGCTTGTACTCTAATTAACTGGTACCTGGGATCCAAACAAGAACAATTTAAGGCTTGATATTCCCTTTCTACCACACAAAACAAATGAATTTCCAGGGTTTGATATTCTCTCCAGGCCACAACCGATGTTGGTTTAGCAATTTAATTTAGACAAGCTACTCACTTGTTACTAAAAATCAGAAGGAATGGACAGAACTTAGGAAATGCAGGGAATATTTTTTCACAAACATGAAATGCATCACCTATGGGCGCACAATATACGGGCACCTACCTCAGCAACGAATCATGCTGATCAGCTGTGTCAATGATATCATCAGCTAAAGATGGGGGAAATGAGAAGTCCAGACAAGCAAGCCCATTTGATGAAGTAACACCCTCAGCATATAGGATATCCAGATCTGAGGGTTCATAATCTGTTCTCAATACATGAACAACCTGGAGAATACAAATAATGTCAGGAAAAACAAGACAATAATAACTTTGTTACAAGACTTTGTCATAGTAAGAATGCCAATACATCCAAAAAGCACATGACCATAAAATAAAATAATATGTTGTATCAGCAGCCTCAATAACAGGTGTTTCTTCAGCTTCACAACAAGAAATATAGTATGAAAAATCTTTGGCATAGATGGTGTAGGCCATTGTACATCTTAAAAAATGTTATGCACTATTATCACCACAAGCAAAATTGATGCTCTGCCCCTCTTTCTGAGTGTGCAACTCAACCATTTCTATATTCAATTCAAGAACGGAAACTTATAACAGAGCATCAAGCATTAATCTTACCTTCTCTAGGAAATAATGAGCAACACTGGGTAGCATTTCCAATTCACTTCTTCTGTTGTAGGTAGCCTGAATGGCTGCATCCTTCCATAGCTCCTCCACCACTGGTGCATATTCACGCGTAGCAGCTGGAAAAATAGCTTCTAAGTTGCCTGACACCATGGCCTTCAGAAGCCAGTCAGAGAAGTCTTTAAGCTTTGGGCCAATAGAATACACAGTTTTGATGTCATTATCAGCAGTACTTCCTGCCAATAAAAAGAAATCCTTTCAAATATTCTTGATGTAACTGTTATGGTCATGTTGGGTACAAAATTAGCATACAAACTCACCATTGGGGTCAGTGTCATTAGGAGACTTCCTTCTCTTCATTTCAGCCAAACTCTCTTCTTCAAAACGCTCACGGCCCTCAAGAAGTATACCAAGATAGCCATATACATTAGTCTGGATTGTCAATTTGATGTTTTCAAACTCTTCATCTGAGAATGGCACTTCTTTGTAAAGAATCTTTGCCTGAAACAATGCATTTAATTTTATAAATTGGTTATCCATATACTTTCATTATAAAGCATTATTAAAGCAGGTAATATCAGCTAGGTTATATAGACAGATCATACTTGACTTAAAGATTTGCCAGCACTACTCCTCAATAGACATCAAACAAAGTGGAATAATGTATAGATATGCAAATCAGGCAAAACAGTGAAATGGGGGCTAAAGCACCAATACTAGAGGTTCATAAAAGGCCCAAGCACATGAATAAATTCACTCAAAGAACAATTCAGAGAATAAATCTATCTCTTCAATTCTTTGTTTAAACTTAAGCCTCTTGAATCCAGTGATACAATCATCTAAAATTTGCAACGTATCAAACTTGATCTCAGAAAACCTGTGCCATAACAACCGATTACATAATTATTCAAAAGCAGGTTAAGCTCAGGACACGCATTACAAAACATTGATTATCTTATCAAATGCAAACTATAGGACAGCATTGTAGCACATGTAGTGATTCACACGGATGCCCCCTCCATCAAATGTGAATTAATAACATGCTAAAACCATTGTTGAAATAAGTTCTAAATAATATTCAAAGAAATGCACATGAGATCCTCAAAGAAAAATAGTTCATACATTTTAGCATTGAAAGATGATCTTTGAAGACATGGTTCCCAATTAAAAGCTACCTGCTTAAATATGGTACTTGTCCCAGATCCACTGGATCCAACCAAAAGAATTTTCTGAAGTGTCCGCTGCTCAAGGTAGTCAGGAACATTTCTGCTAGACAAACTATTTACTTGTTCTCCACATGGATTTGATGCTTTAGAAGGAACAGGGAGTGACAACACAGCACAGAGAAGCTTTGTTCCGGCCTAAAAAGTAATGTGAACAGTAAAAAGTGTCTGTCTAATCCACACCCAGAAAATGAAGGATAAAGACAAATAGGCAGTATGTGTATGAACACATTAACTGTACCTTTCCCCAAATGTATCCTCTAGTATTCTTTTGCCCTTCTTCTTGGTATGACCCATCCTCATTCAGCCAAAAGTGTGGATTGCCAGCACATTGAACACCAGCCAACTGCAATTTTAAAAAAATAAAAAAATAAAAAAATGGAAGTGGCTTAGTAATCCCAGGTCCCAGCTCACCAATCATCTTCAAGAAATATAAAAGTTTAGAAACCTCAACCTGCAACATCCGAAGCTCCACTTTTGTAATTTCTCGACCATTTATGAAAACCTGTGTATTTCCATTGCTAGCATCTGGCTTGATAGGACCACCAACATTCAGATGGGGATTAATTACCTTAGATGGCTTTTGTCCTTCCTGTCAAAAGTAGCATGACCATCAATTTCCACAACATTGGAATGAATCTTAGCAAAGTAAAACATTATATATATATAGATATCAAATCATTCAAAGATCCCATATTCACCTTTCCCCAAAGACCAGATACTTTATCATACCAATAGTTTCCAGGCTTTAGCTTCTTAGGTGGGTTAGAGCAAGTCTGCAACATAACCAGTTCATCATGACAGAGAGGCTTGCCATTCACGCAAACATACTCTGGAGGAAGCTGATTCGCTTCACACAACTTCTCAGCCTTCATTATCTGTCTGACCTCCAAATCATTAAGCAATCGCTTCAGCATTCGAGAACACTTTCCCAAACTCCCTCTTTTTGACTCATCAATTGGAAAACCAATACAGGTAACACACTTCCTCCCTTCAGGCATAGACCCCATAGCTCGAAGCACACAATTACTACAATACTTTGCATCACAAACAAGACAAACCTCCTTATCAGTGAACCTGTTCCCCTTGAAGCATCTATAACACGATCCCTTCTTCCCCTTCGTTTGTGGCTCTCTCTTAACTCTAATAATCTGAGGCTGCTCATCCTGGTTAATTTCCTCATCTACACCATCATCTGACTCAATGTCTCGAAAAGTAACAACCTGGGGTCGCCTAACTTCCCCATTACACTCATTATTACACTCACCAGTCTTAAGAGAGGAAACCCTAGAAGAAGGGTAATCCAAACTCAAAACAGACTCGTTTGAAGCCCAATCAGCATGATTCAGGTCATCATTAAAATCCAAGCTCTCTTTCCCACAATTGGACACCCTTATCCTTGACGAACTTTCCCTCAATTTATCAAAACTATCACAATAACCGCTATGGTCATTACCGACAGAGTAAGCACCTACCCTCTTTCGACAACTACTAACAACATCAGATAATTCACCGGATTCATAATTCCCATAGTCTAATGCACCAGAGCTACTTAACTCACCTGACAGCACGCAATTATTATTATCCTCTGCACCCCTTTCCTCAAAAGCAATAACAGAAGTCGGCGAAACAGTAGTTTCAGACCCCGATTCCAGCTCTTTCAAGGCACAACCACGGGTATCGAACACCGAGGTCGGAGAAACAGTGGGGTGAAGTTCTTTAGAGAACTTTTTTCGATCTGGTGGTAAAATCGGCGGTACAACCGGTATATGCAATTCAGTTTCAGATAGAGACACCTTGGAGACTACCGAAGCAATCGGAATTTTCTCGACGTTGATGGGAACTGCACGAGGCAGATCGTAGGGGACCGGCGGCCCTGTGTATTCCATTGCAAAAGAGTATTGAGGCTCATTTTCGTCGCTGGAAAGCGATACACTCTCCGCCGGCATGATTGACCTTCGACAATCTAAATAACGAACCCTAGAATGCCGGCGACAGCATCACACATCTGAATCGAAGCTTCCGAAGCTCAAAATTGAAGGGAAAAGAAAAAAGAAAGAAAGAAAAAACTCAAATCTCCGATCCTATTATTGTGTAAAAAAGCAAGAAAGAAGATGAAGACAGAAAAATTGCAAGAGGAGTGGAGTATTGGCGAATGAAGAACAGGAAATGAATGAGAAATCGAAGGAAACAAGAATTTGGCTGGAAGTTGAGGGGAAAGGGAATTGAGATAAATAAGGAATATGAATTATGGGGTCTGCAGATAGCCGGAGGAATTGAAGGAGAGAACAGAAGAAAGAAAATAAAGGGTGTTTGGCAATGAGGAAAATGAGAGATTAAGAAAATTCCCTTTGGGAAAGTGTAGAGGGTGGAGGGTGAGCGAAAATGACAGCAGAAGAAAACCAGCCGCCGAGCTTAGACCTTGGAGAAAGAATCTTACATTTTTGTTTGGCAAAACCATAAGCTAAGCCCCTGAACTAACCCCAGAATCGCTATTAAGCCCCTAGACTTTAATTGATGCAGTTAAGCCCTTGAACTCTGGGATCAAAGCAATCAAGCCCTTCTTCTTAAGCAATTTATTTTAAAAATTAAAGTCTAGGGGCTTAATAGCGTAAGAAGAAGGGCTTAATTGCTTTGATCCCAGAGTTTAAGGGCTTAATTGCTTTGATCCCAGAGTTCAAGGGCTTAACTGCATCAATTAAAGTCTAGGAGCTTAATAGCGATTCTGACGTTAGTTCAGGGGCTTAACTTATGATTTTGCCTTTTTGTTTTTTATTTTTTAGCAGTCAGTGTGCATTGTTCTCTATCTCGAGGTTAATCTTTTTTGTTTAATTAAAATTAATTTGTTTTTATTTTTATTAAAAGATTTATAGAAAAAAGTTATCCTTTTATTAAATATATTAAAACACAAATATATACTTATAAAAAAAACTCAAATATACACTGATGATAAAAAAGAAATATGGAGTGAACCTCTAACCGGCTATGATAGAGCTGGTTACTCCCTTTTTTTTTTAATATTAATTTTTATCTCTTAATTTTAAGAATTTACATAATTTTATTTTTAATTTTTTTATACTTTTTACTTTTAAATATATAATCTATTTTTTATTTTTTTATCAATTACTTTTTAAATTTGTCTATATATATACATTTTTAATTTTTAAAATTTTAAGTTAAAAAATAAAAATTACACATATATTATAAGTTAATAAATTAAAAATATATATATTTAAACAGATTTAACAAATGAACTAATATAAAAATTAAAAAAATATTTTTTAATTAAAGAAAAAAAAAGAGTATAAAAAAATTTAGAAATAAAACCTACACAAAATTTAAAGTTGAGGATCAAAATTGACATTTAATTTATTTTTTTATTTAAACAGTTAAAAAATACGTTTGGATTTTGTTGGGGTAAACAAGAGAGCATGTACTGTGTGTCCGGCACTCAGTGGCTTAATCGTCATCACTTGCAGGGACGTGCGTAGGATTAAAAGAACTTGAAATCAAATCTCAAGTCCCCATTCCTCCTTCCCAAAAAAAA